GTGGATAAAGGCGTTAGTTAGATCCAGTGACAGGATAACTGACATCCATTAGACAATGGCACGTGGAACTAGAGCAGTCCATCCCAGCGAGTGAAATAAAGGGTTCAGCTCGACATTTCAACCACTTGAAGAAGGTCGGAGCGTACAACGGCCTAAACGTTGTGATAAATGTGACAACAAAGATGAGGACGATAGTCCTAACAATGTAAATAGTGTACATAATACCTCATCTCAGATATATAGACAGATATCTATCAAGCTTGATATAAGAATGATGAAGCTTGTTGCTTTGGATATCTTGAAGGCGTTCGACAGGTTCTTCTTCACAAGTTGAAAAGTTATGGTGTCCGGGGACGAATTTATGAAGATATTCAGTCTTCCTTATCTAATCTCGAAATGAAAGTATATTACTTAGTAACAAAATAAAATAGATCGCTCATTTTGTACCCAGTAGAATCTTAATACAAGAGAGCGCTGAAAAGTCCTCGGCCCTACCCACTTCATAAAATCTGATCGAATGACCAAACATCAGAATTTATTTTGGAATAGTTTCTTGGTTGGTCTGAGAACATTTTGGTATCTTCTCATGTGCAATAATTCATGGGGGTTCAGGTAATTACTTAATAATAAAATAAAACAAATCCCTCATTTTGTGCCCAGTAGAATCTTATATAAATACGAGAGAGTGCTAAAGGTTGTTGGCCTGACCTGCTTCCTAAAGTCAAACCAAATGACCAAACATCAGATTTTATATTGGGGTCCTTTCTTTGTCAAACGTAAAACTTTTTAAAACTTTACACCACCTTCACACACACGCACACACACGCACACACACACAAACACACATATATATATGTATGTATGTATGTATATATATGTATGTTTGTATGGGTGGATGTATGTAATATACAGAAATTAATTTATGGGATAAAGTGCTCCATATCAAAGATAAAGCATATGTAAATATAAGGGAACATTGAAGTCAATACAGTCAATATATATATGGCCAGGCGATTGTGTCTAGCATGAAACAGCCTGTCGCCTCTGAGTGTTGACTTCAATGTTCACTTATATATATATATATATATATATATATATATATATATATATATATATATATGAACTTGGCAGGTTATTTAAAGCTAGAAAATAGACTGTAAGATTTTTTTTTAAATAATAATGGTTTTGTAATACAAGTCTAATTAAGTAATCCATAACTGGGGAAGAAGAAGTGGATTCATATCTTTCCCAAGGTTATTTGTGTGTAATTGAATATAATGAATCCAACTAAAATTGAAACTCGGCTCTCCGATTAACAATTCCAAGTTATTATCCATTAACACCACCTGCGCAGCGAAGCTTACAGCACCTGGTATTTCCATAGTAGTCACTCATTTAGGTACTGACCAGGCTCAATGTTGCTTATCTTCAGTGATGGTATATAGATACAATACAAATCATTACACCACTCTATGTGCATCTATTTTGTTTGTTTATTTATTTATGAGTGGCAGGGATGCTGTCATTTAATATCTGAATACCAGTATATATATATGTGTGTGTGTGTGTGTGTGTGTGTGTGTGTGTGTGTGTGTGTGTGTGTGATAAAATATAGTTTTAAGGTATGTTATATTTATGGGTTAAAGTGCTCAATACCAGGGATAGAGCATATGTAAATATAAAAATAGGCATTGAAGTCAATACAGAGGCAACTGTCTGTTTCATGCTAAATGTAATCATCAATATATATATATATATATATATATATATATATATATATATATATATATATATATATATATTTCTGAAATGAGTGGAGAACTTTCAGAGGGAAATTAACAGGAGATAACTGATAACTGACATCCATTAAACATGGCACGTGGAACTAGAACAGTCTACCCCAGTGAGTGAAATAAAGGGTTCAGTTCGACATTCCAACCACCTGAAGAAGGCCTGAGTGTACAACGGCCGAAACATTGTGATAAATATGGCAACAAAGATGAGGACAATAATCCGAATAATGTAAATAATGTATATATTTTATTTTATAAATTATCGTTGTCAACTCAAATTTAGCTGTGACACTTTTGATGTTCTATATCCTATTTAAACAATGCACAAACTTTGTATTTCAGTGACATTTCCAAAGAGAATCTGGAATAATAATAGTTTCTATTAAATGGTAATTTACATCAAGAGGTCTTTCAATGCTAAATGCCTTCCAAAGACCTATAACTATAATTACTTCGCAACAAATTAACTTTTTATGTACTGGAGTTGAATGGCAAGAAAGTTTTTATTAAATGGTTGTTTAAGTTATTAACCAATCTAAATGAAGCATTGATTAAAGTATATCTGGTTTCTTGGCAGTCATGGGTTCAATCCTTGGGTCAGGAAAGTCATATACTCTGGTTTAATGAAAGCAAAAAACAAATAATTTCTCAGATGGAGTCTTTTAACTATTTAAACTATTTACATTGTTCTGGCTGTTGTTCTCATCTTTATCATCACATTCACCAGAAGAGGGATCATGTTTTAAGGTTAACACTCAATTTTTCAATATACAGGTGATCCCTTACTTGCAAATGTTCAAGTTCCAAACTTTCAGAAATATTAACAAACCTGTTTGTCAATTCAAAAATCATCTTTTTGACTTCCAAAAATATTTGTGAAAAAAATCATCGCAAGAGAGTAATGAAGTAGATGTAAAGTCAGTGGGTAATACTAAGAACATATTATACGTTTAAATGCAGTTGGTACCATGATAACTGTTTCATTTTACACCTCCAACTCCAGAATTTAGTCACGATGTCAGTTGCTCCGAAAGTACCGCCTCCTATTTCATCATGTTGGGACACAGCATCAGAAACAAATGTTGGCAATATGGAAGTAGACTGATAGATTCATTTTCTATGGCTTACCAACACTTTGCAGCTTATTTAAATTACATTGTATGTATTATTTTTTTAGGGGGGGGGATAATAATGGTTTAGTGATACAAGTTTTACTAATTAACCCATAGCTGGAAGGAAAACAGGTAGATTCATACCTTTCCCAATGGCATTTGCACATAACTGAAAAATAACTTTTATTACACCTACCAGACAGCACCTTTATTGTCACAGGTGATATTTGTTGAAATTTTGAACCGAACACTTTATTTAGTCCACAACGGTAAATTGTTCTAATTCTACATGCCATGCCTTTGGATATCTTGGCTTTAATTCACCTTGATAAGTTTTTGGTCTCCTCAGGGACAGGGATTGAATTCACAATTCTTTGAATCAAGTCACTTTTAGAATCCGTCAATCAACACTTTTATCCACTGGGCCATGTTCTTTTGTCAAGCAGAACAACGGCAAATAGACTAGAGAAAACTAAATGATACGAGATTATCTCTAGGCATAGAAAGCTAAATGCGAGCACTCTATTCCAGTGTATCCAAAAAAGGATCAGCAATATTAGAGGTCCTGATCTGGTGGCTTGGCTTCAGTCATTTTCCCACCCCCATAAGATTACCGCTATGTGCCTTTTCTATAAACACTTTCATGATAAATGTTCGGATTCGCTCTTCACTACGGTACCTAGAATTTTGAATTTAAATGCAGTACTAGACTGGTATCAAGATCTCATCAATTTACAGTTGATCAGGCTAGATTTAGGCATAAATTCTAAGCTGACAGTTTCTTTTCTCACACTTCTCACTTGTGGAACTCCCTTCCAGCTTTCTGCTTTCCAGCCAAATTTAATCTACAAAAATTTAAATGCAGTGTTTCTTTTTAGTAGTTCCTTGAAGATGTTTTCAATGTATTTCTTAACAGAAATATACCAAAATATATAAGCATTTTTGGAGCAATTAAATACACCCCATGGATATTTATACTCCAAGAACTACTATAAAAACAGTATGAAGCTTATGCTTAACATCAGAAAGAGAGAGTTAAAATTTCTAAGGTACATAATGAAGAAAGCAGGCTTAGAAAATGTGACACTCGCAGGGCATATTGAATACAAAAGGACAAAATTTACTAAGAGCTACAAAAGACACGAGAAGAATAAGCTTGCATAAATGGTTGGCAGAAAAAGGATTAGGAGAGATATTAAAAAGACAAACTTTACAAGGACCTAAAAAGTACAGGAAATTGTGGAGAGCCATGATCACTCACACCATGAAATGACACAGCACATATATGTAGTAGTAGAAGAAGAAGTTTAGGTTGGCAGAACAGGGATTAGGAGGGATAGTAAAAAAAGACAAACTTTACTATGAGCTACAAAGAACAGGAAATTGTGGAGGGCCATGATCACTCACATCCTGAACAGACATGGCACAAAGAAGAAGAACAAGAACAGCAACAAATTTGTGTAAATGTTTGACAGAACAGGGATTAAAAAAGATAGCGAAAAGACAAACCTTTACCATTAGCTGCAAAGGACAGGAAATTGTGGAGAGCCATGATCACTCATATCCTGAAGGGATATAACACACAAAAGAATAACAACAACTACAACAAAAACTTTCTTTAAATATATGGCAGAACAGGGATTAAGAGAGATAGCAAAAAGGCAATCTTTACTAAGAGCGGCAAAGGACAGGAAATTGTGGAGAGACATGAATGTTCATATCCTGAAGGGACATGGCACATAGAAGAATATGAAGGAACTTGTCAAAATGGTTGACAGAATAGAAATTAAGAGAAAAAGTGAATATTTACTAAGAACTACAAAGGATAGAAAATTGTGGAGAGCCATGATCGCCCACGTCCTGAATGGACACTGCACATAGAAGAAGAAAACAAAACATTGTTGTATATTAAGATTTATTCTTTCTTAAATAAGTCCTAATATACAAACATAGATTATATGCAAGCATAGAGTGTGACATGAAGATAAGAACTGTGCTTGATAATAGTGTCGGCTGATTTTAGCTGTTAGACATAAACCAGACATGGAAAATCTAATATTTTGGTTAATGATTAATCATAAGAGTTGTCATCACTATGCTTTCCTCACTGCATCTGTTTATTATGCCACACCATTCCAGAGAAAGACAGGTTTCTTTCTCCTCTTCCCTTTCAGCTTGGAGACTGACAAAAAAAAAAGCCCCCAAAGAAATAGTTGATTTCAGTTCAGAACTTGATTCCAGACAGATTTTAGGACAAAAGTTTAAAAAAAAAAAAAAAAAAAAAATTTAAAATGTTTTAAAAAAAATTGTTTTTCTTCCTCCCATTTCATCTCACTCTGCCACCTCATCTTCCTGCAAGAAGGATAGGGAATGGATTTGTTAGTTGGGATGATCATAATGTGTCAAATAATTCCAGCAGTTGCTATAATATATTGGTTCATTTCTTCAATTTCATTTTTATAAAGAAAAAAAAAAATTGTAAAAAATAAACTGCTATCCGTATGAGTCAGATGTTCTCTGTTTAATGGAATTTCAAAATGACAGCAAATTATCAGTATTCCAGTAAATCTTGACTCAGTAGTAGAAAAAAATTATAGAGTTACGTTTTGTTCTAATCTCCCAATATTTTGAGCCCTTTTGGCTAATATTTAATTCCAATAAGGGAAGAAGTTTCGAATCAAGATTGGTGGGAAGAACATTGATAACATCCGGTTTGCCTACAATATGACCCACTTTTCAACCCTCAAGAATAGCCTGATGACATTGCTACAAACTATAAGTAATTCCAGTACACAGTAGGTTCTAAGCACCAAGAAGACCAATGTAATGGTGATTAACAGTGTTGTTCATGATAACAGTCATCTTTGAGTATAGAATCCAGAGTTTAGCAGTGAATATTTCGAAGACAGAAGGGAAGTGTAGTTCAGGTTAGCAGTGGATATCCCGATAAAGTAGCAGAGCGTAGTTCTTCCTTCTGTTCCTCTTTGCCTGACAAGCTGGCACTGGACATTCAGATAGAGTAAACAAAATGGCCGCCTTTATACACAACGGATTGAATATTTTATGTCTTCTGATTGGTTAACCTACTATTGGTGGATTATAAAGTGAGTCAAGTCATTTGGGCTAGCTCACTAGTACATATATATATACACAAAAACTGCAACAAACAGGGGTCACACAGACATCACTGACTTCCTGCTGGATGGTGAGGGAATAGGGGAGGTGGAGGACTTTGTGTACCTGAGCTCCAACATCAATACCCAGGGCAGCTCTACATGGAAGACCAAGAGAAGGCTGGCAGTAGCATTATTGTAGGGGTATTGAACAGCTTCAATTCAACCCGTACATTTTTTTACTTTACAAATGTGTCAGCAAACAAAAAGCAAACAAGAGAAACAACACAGAAATTGTTTTTATAATAACAAACGATCTTCATTTACTGTATGACATACAAAGCAATCAAGTGTATGATTTTTATATAGTAAGAGTTGTAATTAATTGCAAGAGTTATTTCCCTTTAACTGTTATTTGAATTAGTTAAGACTTTAAGGAAGATAAAAAATTTTTATCTGGACTCACAAAAAAGATTTCAGTTTATGAAATAATAGTAAGTTACAATGGAAAGAATGTTCTTCGATAAGGTGTTTTATGCTGAAATTCAGAGTAAGATGAGTTCAAAGAAACTTGTTGATTGAGAGAAAATGTAATCTTCACTTGAATATCAAAACATTGAATTAACTTACCGCTTAAATTGTTCACTGAAGAGAGTTGAATATGAGTGAGAGAATTCTGGAAAGCTGAAAATATGTCGAATTGAAACTTATAGCTCCAGAATATTTTGAAGTAAATAAGTGCCTGTTGCTTGTAGTTGATGAGTTAAGAGATGTTCAATGTTCATACATACATGTGTGTTGGGGTGTGTGTATGTGTGTGTATCATAATGCCTTCCCATCAGGGACAGACATAAAACTCCTCTCTGGACTATATAGTTGTGGTTCTGAGAAAAACAGAGTAAAGAGAAAATTGAAAATGTCACTTGTTATTTTTAATGTTGTATGTCACGTGATAGGCTCAAAAGACATAGACAGATTTTTGGCGGAATTGTATTTTCATTCAAAAACTAGGTCGATGCAATTTGGACGTAGTTGAAAACATGATGTTAGCATTAACTGACCAACCAGGAGTCAGAGTCTCTGTGGTCCACTTTTTTTCTAACTATTTGAAATGATGTAGAATTAAAATTCTACACTATGACAAAAATGGGAAACATCTGGAATAGTCGGAATATATGCATCAGCCTAAACTTGGAATTGCTAAGAATTACTGCTTTCACCATTCCAGCTACAGATTCATGTCATGGGCACTGACAAAGAGGGAAAGGCGCTGGATTGATGCTTTCGAGATGTGGGCATATCTCAGAGTCCTTAGAGTGCTATGGACGGTGAGAAAGACTAATATGTAGGTGCTAGATACCATCAGAATAAGGTATGTATTGAGAGAGTAGATGGCACTAAGGAAGCTCTGTTATTTTGGGATATATTATGTGATGAGGAGGCTTTGATAAGGACATTCTGCTGGGCCTAGCGGAGGGCAAGAAGCACCAAGGGTGACCACCTAGGTCTTAGTTTGGGGATATTAAGAGTTGGATTGGAATGACAGTGGCTGGGGCTGTAAGGGCAGCATCAGACAGAAAGAGATGGAGAAGAGTGATGACCACAGGGGCGCAAAATGCACTAACTGAATAAATGATGATGATGATGATGATGATGATGATGATGATGATGATAAATTGCTTATCATAAGAGATGGAATTGTCAGCAGGTAAATAAAGTCAATATCAATCTAGGAAAATATTAAATAGGGAAAATAAACAGGATAGAAATTATACTATACATTTGATACAAGGTGTGATTTTTGTATTGGGGGCATTAAATTCAAGCAGGTACAGAAATTTAACTATCTGGGTAATCTGATAGCAGGTAACAGGAAAGGTGATAAAGAAATACAAAGGCAGGTAGAAATAGTAAAAGATGCCTCCCAAAGACTAAGTGAAGTATTAAGACATAGGAAAATATCATTAGAAACAAAGAAAAAGCCAACTGAAATACAATGCAACAAATGTGGCAGTGAATGCTGAACAGTTTCCTCTCAAATGAAGAAGAGACATGGTGCGACAGAAATGTCTTTTCAACAAGAAGAGGGTTTACAGAGTTCCCATATGATCACTGAGATTGAGTAATATCGAACCTTGTCAGTATCTAGATGTGTGGCCACTTAGAATACAAGCTTGGATGTGTGGATGATGTCATGGCAAACAGCTTGAAATTGAAATTTGGAGAGCCAAGTTCCAATTCTAGTTGGGTTCCTTCTTGCATGCAAATACCCTTGGGAAAAGTATGAATCTCACCTAGTCTCCCCTCAGCTGTAGGTTAATTACTAGTTGCATTAGTAGATCAATATAATCTCCAAAAAATTCTTATAATCTAAAAATATTTTCTAGCTTTAAGTAACCTACAAAGGGTTGATAAGCCATAAAAAAAACATATCAATCCTTCATAACAGGTTCGACAACGTAAAACAGAGAAATGCTCTCGAAAAGGATTGCCAATCAGTTGTTAACTGGAGCAATTGAAGAATTTGGCATTGAAGAATTTGGTATTGAAGAATTTGGCACTGAAGAATTTGATATTGAAGAATTTGGCATTGAAGAATTTAGTATTGAAGAATTTGGCATTGAAGAATTTAGTATTGAAGAATTTGGCATTGAAGAATTTGGTATTGAAGAATTTGATCTTGAAGAATTTGGTATTCAAGAATTTGATATTGAAGAATTTGGCATTGAAGAATTTGGTATTGAAGAATTTGGTATTGGAGAATTTGGTATTGAAGAATTTTGTATTGAAGAATTTGGCATTGAAGAATTTGATATTGAAGAATTTGTCATTGAAAAATTTGGTATAGAAGAATTTGGTATTGGAGAATTTGACATCAAAGAATTTGGTGTCATAGAATTTGGCATTGAAGAATTGGGCATGGAAGAATTTGGCAGTGAAGAATTTGGCATTGAGAATTTGGTAGTGAAGAATTTGGTATTGAAGAATCCCTTTTGTACCTTAGCAGTATTTCTCCCTTTATCAAGCCCCCCTAACATGTTCACCCATCCATCTGCACAACCTCATCAGCTAGGTGGCTCATTGTCATCCCCAGTCCCTTTTACTATTGATATCCCCTAAGAGGGTTAAGTTTTTCTAGCCCTACTTCCTCATATATATATATATATATATATATATATATATATATACAAGAAATTTTAGCTGTTACTTTCTGATTTTGAGTATGAGTTTTCTTTTTGTTAGCATTGCTACAAAATCAAAATATTAACCTAAAAAACTTGAGCCTTGTTCTTAAACAGCCTTGTCAGACCAAGACTTTCATATGGATGCCATACATGACCCGAAACTCGTTTAAACTTTGATTGAATGAAGTCTGTAGGTTTCAGCAGGAACCATCCTTTTTTGAACTTTTTTGTCTGCCATTACAGAATCACAAAGAACTGTACCAAATAACAGAAACTATATCACTTGAAGATTTTCAACAATAGCAACAACTAAAATGGATAGCACATGCAAATCAAAGAGAAAATAATAACATAATCAAGATGTTGACATTCTACACCATTTCAAACAAAAGGTTAAGAAGGAAACCCCATCAATACAGGAAAAAGTGATAACAGATATCAGATTTGAGAAATCTAGTTTTCTAAAAAATCATTTTAAGAGAAAGATTTTTTGTTTCTTTTTCTTTTTCTCTTTCCATTGTTAGGTTTGCTTTTTCTCTTTCATTTGTCACTTTTTCATTTTTTCTTTCTTTTATTACTTTTTGTTTTTTCTTTGTTAGGGCTTTTCTTTTCAATTTGTTTTTTCTTTTTCTCTTTCCTTTGTAAGTTCTTGCCTTAATATAGATTCATAGCTGAGTCTTTAGAATATCTTTATTCCAACCATTAGATCTGTCTTTGAATTTCATGATGGTTGATTTGTCTGGGAAATAGGTTCTTGATTATATCAGCTGAGGGGGATGATCTCAGCATGCATCACCATTGGAATGTGCCTGAAAAACATACCAAGCCTTGTGAATGACATTTAGGTGAAACTGCTTGGAAGTTTGCACTAATACAAAGTTACAGGTCATCATCACTGAGAGTTTAAGCATACTGGCTTTGTTCAAATTGTTGATTATGCCAGATAAGGCACTGTTTATAAGAAACTCAAAGATGCATTCAGTATATTTCCAGTATAAACCAAAGTTGAAGAAACACAAATGTATCTGAACAGGTGTCTAACCACCCTGGTAGCCAGGTGTACTCAGAAACAGGGTACAAACATTAAAGCTTTAAAAATGGAATAGCTATCAGAGAAAACTGGCAATGTAAACCTTGAATTCATCCAGGAAGCTCTAGTAGTACATCTCACTCTCAAATTCCTTGCAGGGGGTGGGGTGTCCAGACAGGTTGATGAATGGATCTGGCATTTTACTTGAGTCCCAAGAGTCATTCAAAGCAGAATTTCTTTGTCTAGTCTTATAAATACTATTCAGAAACTGTTATGAAACAAAGCAAAAATAAATTATATTTACTGTTTTAGTTATAATCTTTAAATTCATTCAAGATGAAAAGATTGATCTATAAAAAAAGATAAAGAGAAAAGAACAGAGAAACACTAACAAATGACAGTATTTATATTTGGACTATTGTCATTATCTTTGTTATTATCATGTTTTGGCTGAGAGTTTAAGCATACTGGCTTTGTTCAAACTGTTGATCATGCCAGATAAGGCACTGTTTCCTAGAAACTCTAAGATTCATTCAGTATATTTCCTGTATAAGCCATAATTGAAGAAACACAAATGTGTCTGAAAATTGTTTTAAGAGAAAGATTTTATAAATTTCAACCAATTGCAGCACTGACTGCTTGGTCAATGAATGCTGAATGTTTCCTTATAAGGCAACAATTAATCTACAATTACCATATTAACATGGAGTGCTTAAAAGTGAGTTTTATGTATTTTTTCACTAAATTTGTTAATTTCTTACCTAAATTTTGTTTCAACAAGTTTTGTATTCAGTCTACATTGAAAATTTTAAAGAAAGGTATTTTCAAAGGTCAGGAATTAATGTGGACAGAATAGAATTATTATATGTATATAAATGAATTGTTAATGATTTTATTGTATAAATCAGAGGTTACCAACTCAAGGACACAAAAAAAGCAATTTCGTGCTGAGGGGGAGGTGCAGCAGGCTAAAATCATGTCTGTTACCAAGACATTCCCAATGGGGATGATTTCCTCTTCCCAACCAGGGTTCTACAGCCACACAAAGCTAAATTAAATCACCTTGGTATTTTTGAATGATGAGAATTGTGAAAATTAAAATGAAAGAAAGGGAAAGAGAGAAAGTGTGCTGGCAGGCAGACAAGATTTTGCCCATATTCTAACCATTCATGTTTATTAAGTACAATTATTATTAAGCAAAATTTACACCTAATTTTCAAAAAGAATCATCAATTGTCAATATGTGAGGTGAAAATGTGTCCCACATCAGCTAATACATTACACAACCTTCAGCATCAAAATCGAGATTTCTTCCCTTCCTTGGAAAAAAACTAGAACAGACCTTACTGACCTTAAAATTGATTGACTGTCTGTTGGCACATGCTGTATAGGTCAAGCCCAATACTGCTACTGCAAAAGTTTTGAAGGAGTGAGGGACAAATTTATTAAACATTAAATTTGGGTGAAAATATTGATAAAAAATGGATTGAGACCTCTGTTATAAATGCAGTGAAAAAAAATGAAAATCAGAAAAAATATGAAAGATTGTAAACCTTCTAATCATGATAAAATAAAGATGGAATTGTTGGTCTGAGGTGAATTGTTAGAATTCTTGTACAGCAAGGAATTTGTGAAAGCTGAAAAACTGATTTCAAACCTTCATTTTAACAGAATTATCTCTTGGCATTTAAACAAATCATCTCTGTTATAATTTAATCAAAAGAAGTTTTTATTGTAATTAGATTAAGTTTGAAAGGCTACCATTGGCTATCCAGATGGAAGTTATTTTCAAATTTACATCATTTGGGAGAAATTTTTTGGCCAAATAAAATTTTTATAAAGCAAGTTAAACTAAAATAAAACAAATATTTTAAATAGAATTCTCTTCCTTTTGTTAGATTTTCTTTTTCTCTGTTCTTTCATAGGTTTACTTTTTCTTTTGTTATTTAAGTTTTATTTTTCTCTTTCCTGTGTTATTTTTTCTTTTTCTCTTTCCTTTGTTAAATTTTCTTATTCTCTTTCCTTTGATCCCTTTTTTCTTTTTCCTTTGTTCCTTTTTCTCTTTCTCTTTCCTTTGTTAAATTTTCTTTTTTATTTCCTTTGTTACTTTTTCTTTTTCTGTTACCATTGTTATGCTTCTTTTTCTCTTTCCTTTGTTACATTCTTTTTTCACTTTCCATTGCTAGCTTTGCTTTTTCTCATTCATTTGTCACTTTTTATTTCCTTTGTTACTTTTTTTTTTCTGTTACCATTGTTATGCTTCTTTTTCTCTTTCCTTTGTTACTTTTTCTTTTTCTCTTTCCTTTGTGACTTTTTCTCTTTCCTTTGTTACTTTTTTCTTTTTCTCCTTCCTTTGTTACTTTTTTTTTCCTTTCCCTTTGTTAGGTTTTTCTCTTTTCTTTGCTACTTTTTTTATCTCTGCCCTTTTTTACTTTTTCTTTTTGCTTTGTTCCTTTTACTTTTTCTCTTTCCTTTGTTACTTTTTCTTTTTCTTATCATTTGTCACTTTTTCTTTTTCTCTTTCCTTTGTTACATTCTCTTTTTCACTTTCCATTGCTAGCTTTGCCTTTTCTCATTCATTTATCATTTTTTCTTTCCGTTGTTACTTTTTTTTTCTTTTCTTTGTTAGGTTTTTCTTTTTAATTTGTTAATTTTTCTTTTTCTCTTTCCTTTGTTAGTTTTTGCCTGAATATAGATTCATAGCTGAGTCATTAGAATATCTTTATTCTAACCATTAGATCTGTCTTTGAATTTCATGATGGTTGATTTGTCTGGGAAATGGGTTCTTGATTATATCAGCTGAGGGAGATGATCTCAGCATGCATCACCATTGGAATGTGCCTGAAAAACATACCAAGCCTTGTGAATGACATTTAGGTGAAACTGCTTGGAAGTTTGCACTAATACAAAGTTACAGGTCATCATCACTGAGAGTTTAAGCATACTAGCTTTGTTCAAATTGTTGATTATGCCAGATAAGGCACTGTTTATAAGAAACTCAAAGATGCATTCAGTATATTTCCAGTATAAACCAAAGTTGAAGAAACACAAATGTATCTGAACAGGTGTCTAACCACCCTGGTAGCCAGGTGTACTCAGAAACAGGGTACAAACATTAAAGCTTTAAAAATGGAATAGCTATCAGAGAAAACTGGCAATGTAAACCTTGAATTCATCCAGGAAGCTCTAGTAGTACATCTCACTCTCAAATTCCTTGCAGGGGGTGGGGTGTCCAGACAGGTTGATGAATGGATCTGGCATTTTACTTGAGTCCCAAGAGTCATTCAAAGCAGAATTCCATTGTCTAGTCTTATAAATACTATTCAGAAACTGTTATGAAACAAAGAAAAAAATAAATTATATTTACTGTTTTAGTTATAATCTTTAAATTCATTCAAGATGAAAAGATTGATCTATAAAAAAAAGATAAAGAGAAAAGAACAGAGAAACACTAACAAATGACAGTATTTATTTATATTTGGACTATTGTCATTATCTTTGTTATTATCATGTTTCGGCCATTGTACACACTGGCCTTCATCAGGTGTATATCAATCCAGGTAACCTACAAGGAATTCTGAACTGAACCCATTTATTTATTTTTGGCGTCTCGTCTACAGTCACTTTCTCACAGATGTGCTGTCGCCTCCCTCTGTCTGTTCTTCAAATACTTTCATGGAAATTGTTCCGAGGAGCTGCATTCGCTGGTTCCCAGACGTCATGAGTTCCAGCGCCCTACGAGGCTGGCATCCCGCTCTCACCCCTTCACTGTCGAAACTCCTAAATGTAGCCATCTCTTCTGCTCTAATAGCTTAATGTCTCGCACCTCTCGCCTGTGGAACTCCCTTCCCTTCTCCTGTTTCCCTGCGAGCTATAATCTCCAGCTATTCAAGTGTAATGTCAATTGACATCTCCAGTTGCCTTAATCTATCCACTACCCTCATCCTTTCTTCTATCACTCCTATCTGATCTTGCTACTTTCTGTAACCCCTTGCATCCTAGTGGCTTCCTGCCTTGCTTGGGGTGAAATGCTTAAAAAAAAAAAAAAATGTAGACTGTTTTCATTCCACTGCCCATGTCTAGGGATATGTAGTTCTTATTTTTAATACTGATCAGTTATCAAATATTAATAACTTGTCATCCAAGAAATTCAGACAGAAATCAAAGAATGACAGCCATTTTTACAATATAAAAGATTCTGGTAAAGAGAAAGGAAGAGAAAAAAGGGAAGATAACAAAAGATGTTTTTGGTATTATCCTTTTTACCCACTATCTACGCATCTGTCTATCTATCAATCATAGTATATTTCATATCTATCTATCTATCTATCTATCTATCTATCTATCTATCTTTCATATTTATCTATCTGTGATGTTTGGGAACCTCAAGACAGTGTAATGGCTAGCAAGCTTGTCTTGCTAGAACAATTACAACTGAGTAGTGAGTTCAATCCTCTGTTACTATCTATGTATTAGAGTCTGTTTCATATCTGTCTCAATCTGTTCATATCTATCTATCTATGTTTGTTTATTATGTGTCTACATAAGGTCTGCACATCTCTCTCTCTCTCTCACTATTTATCTATCTATATATCTATCTATCAGAGTGTGTTTCATATCAATCTATCTATCTCAATCTGTTCATATGTATTTATCTATTGATCTGTCTGTTTAGGAGAATAAAAGATATGTTGTAGGTATTATCCTTTTCACTCACTATCTATCTATCTATCTATCTATATCTGTTTATAATCTGTTGTTACAAGATCATCTCATCATCTCTCTCTTTGTTTCAATATCTTTTTATCTACTTGTCTATCTATCAGAGTGTGTTTCATATCTATCCATCTATGTTTATTATCTTAGATAGATAGATAGATAGATAGATAGATAGATAGATAGATAGATAGATAGATAGATAGATTAAAAGCAGAGCATTTGTTTAAATCTATAAATATATAAACATATAATTAATATAAACAAATGATATAAACAAATACTCTGCTTTTAATGAATATATATAGAGAGAGATATAGATAGATAGATAGATAGATAGATAGATAGATAGATAGATAGATAGAAAAAAATGCTCTGCTTTCAATAACAAAGATATATATATATAGATATAGATAGACAGAAACAAATGCACTGCTTTTAATAATGAATATATATATATAGATAGATAGATAGATAGATAGATAGATAGATAGATAGATAGATAGAACAGACAGATGGATGCAGATGCTCTACTCTCAATAAGAAACTGACTGAGATGGATAGATAGATAGATAGATAGATAGATAGATAGATAGATAGATAGATAGATGAAACAAATGCACTGCTTTTAATAATAATGAATATATATATATATATATATATATATATATATAGAGAGAGAGAGAGAGAGAGATAGATAGATAGATAGATAGATAGATAGATAAAACAAATGCACTGCTTTTAATAATGAATATATATATATATATATATATATATAGATAGATAGATAGATAGATAGATAGATAGAGAAAGAGATATAGATAGATAGATAGATAGATAGATAGATAGATAGATAGATAGATCTAAATAACATTTTGTTATATAGCAATATTATTATAAAAATATTCACCTGAATTAAATTTGGAACATCAATTTTTCTCTTATCGTACCCTGTTATTTTACATGCATTTTTAATTTGCTGAAATATTATTGACTAAATTGATATATTGTTATCATTATTTCCCAAATTCATTATTGATTAACAATTTGTTATTGGATTTGAAAGGCATATAATAACTGGTCATAAATCAAAGTTATTTGCTAATTATAATCTTGCCTCCTTTCAGGTTTTCCCATTTTTTTTTTTTTTACTTCTGAAGCCAAAATGTTTCTTTAAATATCTGCAGGTTCAGAAATACAATTATATGGAATATTGATTCGAAGTCAATATTCACCAAATTTCCAAGTCATACAAGGTCATTTATTCAACAATTTATTAAAATAAATTCAATAATGAATCCAAGAAACTTGAGCTTTCCTCTACTTCTGTAAGAAAGAATATGGCAGCAAACTGACTCTCCCACCTTTTGCTTGAGAATGTTCTCAAATGCACCAAATTTATATGCATTGCTTGTAACACGTTTGCTATATCTGCCCCATTACATAGAAACATAAAAGACGAATGTACCTTCGGTAGACCTGAGTACTGTACATTCATAACAAAAAAGATAATGATTAAATAAACAAGAAAAAATTGTGAAACTGCTTTCATTTAGTAAAATCTCAAAAGTAATTATTTTATGGCATATCTGACAATCCTTATGTCTACCCAAAGCTACTTGGTAAAATCTAAGTGATGGTCTTACTCAAAAAGATTTTTATTCTCAGTACTTGCATGTTTATTATTACCATAATTTCTCGAAAATAATACACACCCATAAATAATACACATCTCGACAAATGATCCAAAAATTAAGAAATATATCTATCCCTATGTATAATACACATCTATAAATTTTGTCAAAAAAAACCATAATTATGAAGACATTAGGAATAAAATCAAAACTAAGCAGCTAAAATAATCTTGAAAATTACCATGCGGTTTTCCTGATAAATATAACATTTTATTTTACCGCCAAAATGTTGTCAAAACGTGCGAGTTATAGTGCAAATTTTAATCCAAAAAGTAATAGAATTAGCAGAAAGAATAGGAAACAGAGCTGCAGCTAAAGAATATGAGTTGAATGAGGCTAATATACGTTTATGGAGAAAGAATAAAAAATGTAAATCAAGTGCCAAAGCCATAGGTAGAGGAAGAAAAGCTCAATATCCAGATATAGGACAAAGTTTAGTTGAATTTGTGAAAGAAATATGATCAAGTGGATGTTCCATAAATACTGTGGAAATAGGGATAAAGGCAAAAGAACTTATGAAAGCTATGCATCCTGGAAACACATTTAAAGCTTCAGTAAACTGTTGTTTTCTTTTTATGAATAGGTTTGATATATTCATTAGGAAAAAAACATCTGTAGCCCCAAAAAATGTTACAATTATTATTGTTGGATTTAAAATGAAAATTGGGATAATATCTTTCTTATTTTAGAACAAGTATGTATTTATTATTATAAATCAATAACCAAAAAATATTTTTGTTTAAACCTATTTATAATACGCACCCCTACTGTCACCTGTAATTTACATTAAAAAATGTATATTATTTTCAAGAAATTATGTTATATTACATGTATATCTTTATGTTAATTAAACATTTTAGGGCACTACTTAACTAGACTGGTAAAAGATGAATGTATTTGGAAATGATTTTTATAGCTTGGCATTCTTTGAAACTAGCTTCAGCCATGACAGTTGTAAGAATCAATGTTATCATCTTAGAAGTTTAGACCTGTTCATAATATTGATAAAATCAATCCCTGACTTTTTACAAAGTTATCAAAACCTCACAGTTGTTTAGAAAGGTCAAGTTTAAAATTGTGCTTACATCATTGAGATCTACATGTGAAAACAGACTTTTTTTTATTTTACAAAAGGATTTCTTTTAAACAA